GGTATGTGTGTATCTATATTCATATGACTAGTCAGTGTATTAAATGAATAGATACATAGTCAGCTATATCCTTTTGATATATAACCAGCTAGCCTGGATAGGATGATGTAGAATTATCTTTTTCAGATCTTATAGTGTAATAGGGTTATTAAGAGGTCAGCTGAAGGGTACCTGGATGGCTCAGTTGGTTAAGCGTCTGCCTTCGGCCCAGGTCATGATCTCAGGGTCCTGGGAACGAGCTCCGCCTCTGGCTCCCTGCTCACTGGGGAGTCTGCTTCTCCCTCTCCCTCTGCCACTCCCCCTGCTGGTATTCTCTCACTCTCTCTCTCAAATAAATAAATAAAATCTTAAAAAAAAAAAAAAAAAAAGTCAGCTGAGCCGTCACCTTCATTTGGTAAGTGAGAAAGCTTGAAAGCTAAATGCTTTAAGTTTATATGTCTAGTCATTGGTAGAGCTGGGCACAGAGTCCATTTTGGCCAATTCCAGATTCGGCGCTCTTTTCCCACTCAGCAGTCGTCTACCCTCCACTAAGCTTGGTCTTTAAGGGAGGCTCTAATGTGTTCTGGTCAGGGGAGCGATAGACCCCAGTTGTCACCCAGTCCTGAAGCTCATTGGTGAGCTTGCCTTGGCAAGTTCCCATCTTCTTGGAGCCTTGACTTCCCCACACGTAACCTGGTGATGGTACCCATGTCACCTGGCTCTTTAGGGATGGGATTAAATGATGTAATGCATGCAAGCTTATTTTTTTCCCAGAGATTCTGACTTACTGTAAACCCTCAGTGACTATATGCTTATGTAAGGTAACTCCTTTAGAAATTATTCCGTTAATAAACGTTCATTGTAAAAACTCATAATGAGCAGATTAGCATAAAGAAGAAAATGAAAAGCACCTGTAACACCCTCATCCAGAGATAAGCTCACCTTTCTTACACATTTTTCTCATTTAGTTTTGATTGCACTTACTATCTGAAAAATACAACATGAAATTCTACACGGCAGTGATCCATGAGAGCCAACACTTCACATTAATCACAAGAGAGGCCATAGCAGTGCCTGTTCATTATTCTTTCCAAAGAGTCAGATGTTACTACAAAGTTATACCAGTTGTACGTAAATTCGTGCATATATGTTAAATCTCCTACTAGTTTTTGCTGTAATTTTATTGCTGCTTTGCCCTCTTTAAATTCTAACTTGAGCTATATATGTATCTACTAGTGGTTTCTTTTTTCTTAAATATAACGAATTGTCCATTCTACAGGCCTTCCAAGTAAGTGTGACCCACATGAGTTGTTTAGGGACTTTGTTTTGACTCACATGGGTCATAATTAAGCTGCTAAGCCTTCTCAGATCAAAGAAGTTTAAATCATTGGGAGGAGGCTTGTCAAAAATCAAATTGGTTTAATTTGTATCTCCTTATTCCAGAAAGGTGAATTATAGGTCTCTCTCTGTGGAATATGTGTTAATGTTCCAAAGTTCTAGATTGGCTGGTCTTTTTCTGTTTTTCCTGCCTCTTCAGTTTGTGGCCTGAGAATCGTGCGCTAAAAAGATGGGTTCTGGGAAAGGAGTTTTGCCTTCAAATCGAAGGTTATTTGAGTCATGGTTTGGCTCCTCTATTGATTGTTATGTGCGTGTGCCAAGAACGCAGGTGGTTTTTGGTGCTTAAGAGGTACTATGGTGATTTGTGGACTATTTGAAGGCTATCCATTTCCTTTCCTGGCAGAGGTCTTGAGGCAGGGCTCCCCAGCTCCCAGGAGCCGGGCAGGGGTGGGAGTGGACAGTGGGAGGGTCCAGCCACATTCATGTCCCTGCACCCGGAGCAAATACAAAATCCTGTCCCAGGGAGAGCACCAAGGGTCACAGTTGGAAAAGTGTGGCCAAAGGCGTGGGTATAGGAAGGCACCAGGCTGACAGAGGCCATGAGGGTTCTAAGAAGCAGAGAAGAGATGGTAAGAATAATTTGAACTAGAAGAGCTTCCAGAGCAGGAAGGCAGTGGGCTCATTCTAGGGTCCAGCTTTCTTGGGAGGATGCTGTGCTAGGGGGTTGGACTCATTAAATGGCCTTGGGTAAATCAAGCAGAAAACAAAATTAGGGATTAGGAAGTTGAGTTATTAGCCTTGAGCGAGACTTTCCCTGAGTGTTATTAATGACGCTCTTATTTAGGAAAATGTTGCTCATTTGAGGGCTGTTTGTTTCAGTACTTGGAGTTACTGCCAGTGCTGGCTTTCTTCCAATCTTGGTAATCCTCTGAGGTTTCAGGAAAAAAGTGGTTTGGGTCCCCCCTAACCTCCCGCTTCCCATGGAGAAATTGGTTTATGTATAATTTAATTATTTTGTTAGCCAGTCATCCTGACTGTGTACAAAACCAGCAACCTTAAAAACCCACCATCTTCATTTGGTGTCAAAGATGTTCATAATTGGTTTTTCCTCCATTACGAGTGAATATATAACAGGAAGATTTTTTTTTTTTTTTAAGATTTTGTTTATTTATTTGAGAGAGAGAATGAGATCGAGCATGAGAAGGGGGAGAGTCAGAGGGAGAAGCAGACTCCCTGCTGAGCAGGGAGCCCAATGCGGGACTCGATCCCGGGACTCCAGGATCATGACCTGAGCCGAAGGCAGTGGCTTAACCAACTGAGCCACCCAGGCGCCCAAGATTTTTTTTTTTTTTTTTTTAATTTATTCATTTGACACAGAGACAGCTAGAGAGCGAACACAAGCAGGGGGAGCGGGAGAGGGAAAAGCAGGCTCCCGGCCAAGCAGGGAGCCCGACGCGGGGCTCGACCCCAGGAGCCCAGGATCATGACCTGAGCCGAAGCAGATGCCCAGCGACTGAGCCACCCTAGCAGGAAGATTTCTTGCTAAAAAGCTAAAATGCACTGACTCCGTTTTCTGTACTTTCAGCAATGCCCTTGAAACCTTGCAAAGTATTATCCAGTGATTTAGAGTAACAAGAACTGAGATAAATGATCACTTTCAAAGAGGAATTAAAGTCCTAAGTATTCTGTAGGGAAGTCCTATTTTAGAAGATCCCCTCGGACAGTATTTTCATCTGAGTGAATTTTGAGAGGTTCTTTTGAGGGTGGAAGAGCAAGGAGGGAATGTACTTTTCTTTGTCAGTATCTCGTCTCGCTCATGTCTCTCCATTTGGTTGACTTTCTTTATGCACAGTCTTGTTTCATCTTTCCCTATTAGGCTATTTGTGGGGAAATTCTTTATCCTGACGTGTGGCCGTGAACATGTCGTTACTTAATTTAGTGTGAGGCTGACTTCAGATCTGTACCCTGCTCGCTCCTCCTCATCCGTTTTGTGTGGGATTGAAGGTCTCACGGTGGAAAATGCTAAGCTGCAGTCCATGGGAAGCCTTCATGTTATAAATATGCCTCATAGCGATATTTTATTTAGTCCATTTGCAAGAATTTAATTTGAAGTAAATAATTCACGCTGGCCTAAGATTCCAAGGTACAGATGTTTGCACTGCTGCTGGGGCCAGCTGAGGCTTCACCTGCTTATAGGCTGCTTTTCTGCTGGTTTTCCCTCATTTCTCACATGTGTGGAGCCCCAGATATTGCTTCTCATGGTGATATTGCTGCAAGGTCTCCATAATTAGACATGGGCATCCAAGGCAAGTCAGTATTTTCTTTTTTTTATGAGTAGAAACCATTTCAGCTTTCCTCCTGGGGAGTCCTTTTGAGTCTCTGAAGTCATTCACAAATACGGTAAAGTCTAATTTTGCTTCACAAGAAAAAAAAAAGAGAGAGAATATTGCTCTTTTCCTATCCAGGAATTCCACCCTCCCCCAAGCTTTGCTGCCCTCCGCTTATTGCTTTCCCATCATTTGCAGTAGCAGATGGCTTTATGCAAATCACGCAGTTATTTTGGTCATAGTCAAAATCACCTGGCATTAAGAGCAATTTCTCGATGAGGGAAACTGCTGTGTGTGTTTGAAAATGCACCCAGAGCTGGAGGGCACACCATCTCGACGGAATCTGTGTTCCTGGCAGAGAAGGCTGCGGCCTTCCAAGGATGCCCCCCCAACTTGCTCCGTGTATTTCTGTAGGTCCACCTAGCCGGTGAAAGATCGCAGAAAAAGATATTTTCGATGACTGTTTATTAGCCATCTTTAATAATCTCATCACGTACGTGTACACAGGGGATATGCCACCTTGGTTGGCATCATATGGCCAGTTTTAACAAAGAGGCCAGCAATATTCGTCACTGCAGTTTTCGTCTTTCTTTTACTAAAAATTGTAATTTTTTTTTTTGCCTAATTTTCTTCGGTAGCCTCTTTGAAGTAATTCCTGTAAAATTGGGCACTTTTCCTCTTCCCCTCAACTCTCTAAACTTCTTTGCATTGACAAAACAATCCATCTTCTAAAGTGGCTCTTGCAAGATTGCTGAGGGTTTTTTTTTTTTTCCTTCTTCCTTTTATCTCTTTCTCCAATAGTTTTTACCATCTTCTTCCTTGAGATGACATAGTGTGAAGTGAACAGCCAGAAAATGAGGGAAAGCCTTCATCAATTAGCCTTAAAGGATCAGCTGCTTTCCTAATTCTGAGATAAATGATGGGGCTCTGTGGCTCAAATGTCACGTGGTTTCCTTTCCAGACATGCCTCAACAGATAACGGATCATGCCTGTCCTTCCCCTCTCATTCCCCTGCAATCTCCGTCTTTTACCTTGCTGCTCTGAGACGCCCCCACCCCTCTCCGTCTGATATAGACGCATGAGGCTTACCGGATGAAGGAGTCAGTCACTGTGAAGTAGTTTGAAGGACAGATAGTGTAATTGTGGGCTCCTTGATTCCTTTGCTGCTGTTGTTCCGTGTGAGAGGTCCCCTGCGTCTGTGCTGCTCGCTGAAAGCATGAAAGTCTAATAGTAGTAACAACCCCCTTAAATGTAGTGCTCATTGTGTGTCAGGAACGGTGTGCTTGGTGCTTAGTGTGAGCATTACGTGGTGTACAAACGAACCAGCAGACTTAGTGTCTCTCATGTATTTTTCAGGTTGAAAATTGGTGTCCTCATTTACCTTGGAGAGCAAAAAATCCCTATGAAGAAGCTGATCATAATTCATTGGTGAGTGATTTTTGGAAACTAGGCTTGTGATTTGGTTCTCATGCCGAGGGATACCTGCGGAGTCGGCTAGACATGCCCGCTGTAACCTGAAATCGTGGTAAACTGAAGAACTTCTTTCCGCAGGCCTGTGGATCAGTTAACCAGTAGTGTCTGTTTCTCGAGCGATTCTCTGGGGGGTCCTGAGTGATAGGCTCCTGAGAGGAATGAGACCTGGTGCCAGATGCGGGGCGCTCAGCGATCTCATAAGGGTGACAGGTGAAAATCATGACCACACCCAAGTAAAAGCTGAACTACAGGCCGATGGAAGTGAGTCAGAAAGCAGTCATCTCAGCCTGCAGGGGTTAGGAGAGGTTGCAAAGAGATGATGACATTGGAGCTGAATTTCAAAGCATGAGTGAGTTCACAGTAGATGAAGGAGAGGAAGGTGTGTCTGATGTGTGGGGGGGAAAGGTGCTCACACCAGAGTTTGGTGTTTTCAGGGAGTAGAGCGCAGTTCAGTGGACAAGGCCATAGGGTGTTGGATGAGCTTTGGTGGAAGATGAGATGGGAAAGATCAGTAGGGACCATGAAAGGTTTTCTGTGCCATATTAAAAGCTTATGTCTATTCTTTAGACCAAGGGTCAGCAGACTTTTTCTGTAAAAGGCCAGATAGTGAATATTTTTATCTTTCCAGGCTGTAAGGTCTCTGTTGGAACTGCTCAGTTCTGACCTTGAGTGCAAAGGGCAGCCATAGACAGGATGTAAATGAGCAGGTGTGGCCATGTTCCCACGGAACTTTCTATACCAAAACTGGCAGCGTGATCTGGCCCCCCCGCCACAATGTGCTGACCCATGCAGTAGGCCATGGGAATCTTGGGAGAAGGTTGGGTCAAGAAGGGATCAGGTGAGTGTTGAGAACAAAGTGCATGACTGCTGAGGGATGGAGTTAGCATGTTTTAGATGTTACGAGAAATAAATAGGAGTGCTACTATTTTTCTGTTATTCCGATCACTGGTTGTACCCAGCTACATTAGAAAAATGTTCTTCCTGGCTTTTAAATTATTCTGGCCTGAGTCTTAAATTTTATTCAGCTATGGTAGGAAAATGGTATTGCTGGCTTTTAAATTCCTTAAAAAATAATGAACTTTTGTTTGTTTGAGATTGGGACAAAACTAGAAGATGAGCATTTATTTCCCTGCTTAACTTTGTGGGCAGACTAAAGCTTCCTGGCAACCTACACAATGCCAAGCAGCCTGTTAAGAATTGACTTTACTTTTTCCAGGAGTCTGCTGCCTTGCAGTAGATCCAAGTGGCAATAAATTCGGGTGCAGAGAATTTCAAGGTACATCAAGCATACTCATTGTAAAAAAAAAAAAAAAAAAAAATGCATTTAAATGTAACTCGGGGCTTTGCAATGACTGTGCTGGGCCTTTCTCAATTTCTCATTTTTTAATGGTGTCCCCTACAGCAGATCAGCAGTCAGGGGCCTTTACTTTAATTTGTAATCCTGGGGCCTTGAAGTAAAGCTGTGCAGCAGACAAGCCTCACTTTTGAAGCCCTGCATTTAATTGACTAGCTCTTTCAAGTTTTCAAATGTCACATCATGACAGCCATTATGCCTTCTGACTTTTTATCTTCTGTTCATTTTTATTAAATTTCTGTTTCTAGGCGGAGATTCGTACAGATTTTAATATTCTCTACAGCATGATGAAAAAGCATGAAGAATTCCGGTGGATGAGACTCCGGATCCGGCGAATGGCTGATGCGTGGATCCAGGCAATCAAGTCCCTGGCAGAAAAGCAGAATCTTGAAAAGAGAAAGCGGAAGAAAGTGAGTCTCTGATGAATTCAGTTCAGTTAGATGCCAGTTTTCTTTTAAAATTCAATTTTGCTTGGAAACAAGACTAAGAGAAATGTCATGTCTCAAATGATATTCCCTCAGGGTGAATCTGCTCAGTCTCTTGTACAGCCTTTTTTGGGCTTTCCTTTCCCCAATTACAGTAATCCTGCTTAGCAGGGACCAGCACACATGTTTCTTGGGTGAAGCCAAGCCCAGTATCTGCCTGTGAGATTTTCCTTTGAACTATCCTGACTGTCCCCGTGGCATCAGGAAACTTAACCCTCTTGGCTTTACCCAGATACAACCTTGGAGAACTTGTTGTTACATCATCTTGGCAGTCTCCTGGTTGTGGTATTTGTCAGTTCTGGGCTTTGGGCAACTGGTGCGTTCCATTGCTGCTATGTTGAGTTGGTGCTTCTGCTTCTGTTCTTGAGGGAGAGATACTATCAATTAAACTGGGGCCAATTTGTCTGAAGTTCATGAGGATTTGCTTAGAAAACCTCCGGGAATAACCCTGAGCATGAAAGATTTTATAGCCTATAGTTATAGGTTAAATGGCCTTGGCTTTAGAGTAACTGTCCGGATGACAACAGAGCAAATTAAGCGATCTCTACTACCCGCATCTAAAAATTAATTAAAAATGACTTTGGTGTTCCTAATTTGACTAATTTGATATCCTCAAAAAAAGGAAATAGGGATGATGAACTTGCAAAACCCCAAGTGACAGTTTAGTGGTTCCATTCTGCTAAATCCCTTGAATTTATGAGACAGTAGGTCCAAATGTTCAGGCCCCAGATAGTCCTCTGTAGAAGAGAATTAGGTCAAAAATCCAGGTGGGCTGTAAGAAGAACTAGAGTATTTTTACATAATCCTATGCAATAATCTCTAGGATATATTGACCTATATATAGGTCAATAAATAGTAGATGGAGAACAGTGAACATTATTTTTAAAAGGAAGAGATAATTTTATATATCTATATACCTACATGTATACATAAAGATATGTGCATGTACACACACATGATGTATATATAATATACATTTATGCTTGATCATATTTTTAAAAATGGATAAACCATGAAATTAAAGGAGATGGATAGTGGAGCTGGTTGCATAACATTGTGGATGCACTTAATGCCACTGTGCACTTAAAAATGGTTAAAATATTAAATGTTATATTAACATCTATTGTACCACAATAAAGAGAGTCAAATATGGGGAAGGAGGGAGGCAACAGGATTAGAAACTAGACTTAACTAAATATATCTTTCTCTGTAGATTTGATACTAGAATCACTTGACATAGTATAAAACAAAATTGAATTATGGAAAAAAAACAGTATCTAAAAATTACAAAGAAAATAAGACCTGAGCTGACTACGTACCCACTTTTACAGCAAACACACAAAGAAGGACTGTTCTTAGTGACTAGAACACAGCCAGTTGAGCATTTCTGATGGTATATCACAAAGGACAAAAAAACTGCAAAATACCTTAAGAGAAGTTTTACTGAGTTTTACTAAGTTTACACGTAGTAGGTGGTGGTGTAGATATTCTCATTCTGAATCCCTTCTGCATATTGGAATAAAGCTTAAGGACTTAATGTTAGTATCCTGGAGAAGTGGGATTTTCCATGTGGGAGAGAGGAAATAACATATGTAAGATGGATAATGTTATGCAAAGCTACTGTAATCCTGAGTTTGAATGGGAAGTACCAGTGTGAATTTATGATTGGTTTTATCCTGGAGGAGAAATAAATTTCCAGCTTCGTCCACTGAAAAGGGCTACAGACAATGATTAACTAGAGTCCCCTTACGCACCAGAACTTGATCTTTAGATGCCATTTCCACTAAATGGTATAAATGGAAAAATCGTTGGTTAAGGTCTGAGACAGAAGTTGTACATGATGAGCCGGGAACATCTGTCATACTGGGGAGCAAAGAAACTCTCAAAGACTACTAGAATTGTGTCAGAAGAACTTAGAAGCCAACTTGAATGGCCTCCCATTGGCAAGATGGGACAATTTGATAATCCGTAAGGATAATAACTACAGCTTATTGAAACGCATCTAATATACTTCTATCCATGATTTTATAATGATACCTTTAAAAAGCCTCGTTGATGGTCATTAGAGTATGCTAACAAACAAATCTGTTATTTTGAAAACTGATAAAGGGTAAGAGTGAAATATTTCCCGGGCTTTTTCTGTGTAAACCATACTTCAGCAGAGCCAAATAGTTGATTGGGGGGGGGGAGGTAGTTTCTCTTTATAGAAGCATTCCAGCTAATAAAGGCAGAAGGAATAATAAAGTATCACCATTTTGCAACCCCTAAGGGATGAGTGCATCTAGTTAGTGATCATCAGTAGCTGCTAACATCACCAGAGAGCCCAGACGTTCCCACTAGTGGAAACACACAGTACCACCTATGAAGTAGTGTTGCCAAAAACATCAAATATGAATTGAATCATGCCCGCGGATCTAATTACTAATTTACTATAAATACAAGGGGTGGAGGAATCTGTTATATAATCAGCAAAACCCTAAGTGTGAGAGACTCTACTGGAAATACAACCTAGTCTCTTTGACAGATTTAAAACTCTCCCCACCCCCAAAGGATGGAGTTAAAGAAGCCTGAGAAATAAATGAAACAATTATAGTTTATGCAATCTATTTGACTTCTGACTTGAACAACTGTGCTTGAAAAAAGGAACAGTTGAGGAAGTGTAAAAGATAACTGGATATTGAATGATATTAAGGAATTAATAGCTATTTTAGGGGTGATAGTGATGTTATGGTTATGTTTTTTAACTGAAGGTTTGTTTCTTTTAGAGATACAAACTGAAGTATTTGCAGTTGAAAGGATATGATCTCTAGGATTTGCTTCAACAAAAGCTAGAGGGGTTGGGAGAAAATGAGGGGTGTACATTAAGATCCTGAGTTAATAATTGTGAAATTTATATGATGAGTACATTGGAATTGACTGCATTATCGTGTCTGATTTTGGCTATGTTTGGAATTTTTTACGTTAAAACCTTAAAAATATTCCAGCTGTGGGGGAAAAAAAAACCAATATTGTTAAACGATAATTTTATTGCCCTGGCTTATTCTCCTTTAATTCTGATTTCCCAAATGTTATCCTGCTTTTTAGAAACACTGTCCGTATGTCATGTTCATAGCCATAAAAGGGGCAGTAGTGACTTTATTTCCTTCCATTTCTTTGTACCTTTTAGAAAAATCTTACGCCATGTTGAGGTTTCATTAGAACGTAAACATCACTTTAGAATTGGTTGATTGCTTTTGGTGTGTTACTATGGAGTTTGTACTTGGTTCAGTGGGAATCAATATATGCCTCTCCTTTGTTTTGTTTTGTTTTTTTTTTCAGGTCCTCGTTCACCTGGGACTCCTGACTAAGGAATCTGGATTTAAGATAGCAGAGACAGCTTTCAGTGGTGGCCCTCTTGGTGAATTAGTTCAGTGGAGTGATTTAATTACATCTCTGTACTTACTGGGCCATGACATTAGGATTTCAGCTTCACTGGCTGAGCTCAAGGAGTAAGGAGATTACTTTTCAATTTTAAAATCAGAATACAAAAAAGAAATTGTAAACTCTTAAAGCCCTCTATTAGTGTGTAATTTCTTGTGGAGGAAAATGAAAGTGATAATTCACTAAACAGGAGATAAGAAGATTATTTTCAGGAGCTAAATACATACACTGTGAAAAGGATAATATGTTTTCATTGTAGTTGCAGGCTCCAGAGGCTTCATAAATGAATGCCAGAAAATTCAAACTAAGGAGCTTATTCTTTGCTATTACAGGTGCTTCCAACATGTGCAGCACAAAACATTATTGACTTTCCTAATTCCCTGTCTCTTGCTGAAATGCATACCATTCCCTACTCAACTTCAAGCCTTCCAAATCTTAAAACAGGGCAGGTTCCTGTTTATAATTTAATTTGGATAGAATGAGTTTCTTGAAAGCCCTGATCCAATCTTCTTTTCAGTAAAGCCAACTTTCCAGTCTGAGTCTGTTAACTCTACCTGGCTTTCCTAGTTCCCTGAAACCTTCTTCTGGCTCTAGCCCTCTCTTAATCTCTTGTAGACTGACACAGCATGGCTAGGCAGGAATGCTTCACACCCCTTCACTCCTTTGGATAACTGCCCATGGAGACTTTCTTCCCAGCAGCCAAGTTATCATGTTGCAGTATGCCAAATGCTCCAGAAGAAATACCTAGAGTGAACATTTCTAGAGATGGAAGGGTGTTTAAAACAAAATATGCCCCCCCCACTCCTACGTTATTGTCCATGACATTGATGCCCAGAGATGTCACTTGTGTTAGGGCCAAGGTCCACACACCTGAGGAGTGGCACTGTTGAGATGAAAGCAATAATATCAACTGTCATTTTTTAAATGATTTCTACATGCTAAAACTGTGATCAGGGCATTAGTTACAGCAGGAGGGTCAACAGTTAGGATAACCACAGTATTGATGACGACTATTAGCAGCTAACGTTTGTTGAGCACCTACTGTGCATCGGATACTGAGCATTTTACGTACTTTTACACAAACTTGGCAGTGAGTGCTGTTGCTTTCTGCATTTTAACGATGAGGAAACTGAGTTGTTTAAGAACACGTGGAAAACACGTGAGAGCCAGGACTAGAGCGAAGCCTGTCTGACCTCAAAGGCTGTGCTCTTGACCACTCTACTAAATTGCTCCTTGTGGATCTAGATAAACCCGAGGCCTTCTGAACCCCTCAGCACTACCCATGTCCCTTCAGCACACTGCCTCCTGCTTGCTTTAAAACACGTTGTGTACATGGCCTGTGCAGTTGAGGCGTCCCTACATTCAGCAGTCATTCAGTGCTTTCTGGGCACTGGTTCCCGGTATGGGGTATACAGAGATGACCAGCGTGTGTTCAAGGAAATGCCAGTCTTTTGGTAATTACGGCTAATACATCGCATAATAATTACACTAATTGCAATGTGATTAGTACTAATTGAGGCATGGATGCATAACGTAAGCCAAGAGAGTACAGCAACAGTGACTATTGCTCACCATGGTGTATGTGGCACCTAGACTAGTGCCCAGCACCCAGCGGGTGCTTGTGACTAGTTACCGAGCAAACCAGTGAACGGATGAATCAAGGAATGAGTGAGTGGGTGAATAAATGGAAAACTGTGGGAACTCTAGGGAAAGGCGCTCCCTAGGGAGGTCAGAAAAGGCGTACTAAAGGACTATCAGGCAGAGACTTCATTTGTTGGTCAAGAAGTCCATAGAGTGCTTTAAGCACTGGTGACAGAACCAGATGTGTTTTATTTAAGAGGGTAATTATGAAAGCCACATAGAGCAGTGGTTCCTGAAGATGTCTGCACATTAGAATCACCTGGGGATCTTTGTGGCCTCCCAGTGCCCACACCATATGCCAGACTAATTAAATCACAACCTGTGGGTACAGGACCCAGGCATGAGTATCTCGATGCCCCCAGATCATTCCAATGTGCAGACAAGTTTGGGAACCGCTGAAGACAGGGTCGACCAGGAGTCCGCACACACTGGCACCGTGGGCCAGATGCAGTCTTCTGTGTGTTTTTGTCACGGAACTCCCACGGGAACACAGCACACCCATTGTGGATGGATTGCCTAGGACTGCTTTTGTTCTCCAAGGGCAGAGTTGCATGCTTGAGACAGGGGACGTGTGGCCTCCAAAGGCGAAAGTATTTACTGTCTGGCCCTGTGTAGAAATACTTCCAAATTCTTGGGAAGAAACTGGTTATACAGAACCTGGTCATTTCAGAGGGCCACATGAGAGGAGGAGGAGGAGGGTACCTGAAGGTGTGGCAGTACCGAGCTACAGAGCAGAGTCCTGCTCCTAGGACTCGTCCTTTGAAGTAGGGTGGCCAGAATTTGGTGAGGGATGGTTATGGGGGGTGGGCAGGGATAAAAGGCATCGGTGAGGACCGATTTCTGGGTGTGAGTGGCAGTGTGGTTCGGTGAGCAGTTTTTACTCCCACACGTGAAGTTGGCTTATGACCAAGTATGTCAGCTCTCTCTGGGTGCAAGGGTGGGTTTGTATGGATGGGTGAGGAGATGGGTAGATGGAAGGAAGGGCAACGAAAAATTATAAACCACAGTGCCGGTTATGTAATAGAGTCTAGTCAGAAGGAAAAAATTGACATAGAAAAAATTAGGAAACAGCACAAGACAGTATAGAAGTTTATATTGTAGTGGCTAGAAATTGAAGACCTTTAGGAAGTCAGTAGGGGCTGGAGTAATGAGAACAGGTTCTGTTGGGGAAAGCAATAGCCACTGAGTATCTGGGACACATGAGGCACTTTTCTTTTTAATACCTCATTTAAACACCTGAAGAATCCCTGACATGTTGCTTTCTTATTATCTTTTCTGTCACAAATCCTGTTTTGTGGGTAGGTCGGGTTTTTTTGTTTGTTTCTCATGAGGAGGAAAGACCAGAAAGGTTAGTGACTTGTCTAAGATCTCGTGGCTGCTAGTGGAGCTAGATAGTAGAGACAGATTCAGACCCAGCTCTTCTTGGTTTCAGAGTGTGTGTGTGTGTGTGTGTGTGTGCGCGCGCGTGCACACGTGCGTGTGTGCCACCATTTATTTTTGCCAGAATCAGAATCAAGGCTCTGGATAGGCCCTGATTGGTGAGCAGAATTTGGATAGGCAGCAGATTGGGACAGACCATGCCATCCTCCCCAACAACATTCTTGGGATGTTTGTTTGCCTGTTAATGTTGCTAAGTGTCATATCTTGAAATAAGTTACTATTCTTTTCCTCTCTCCTGTCCTTTTTCTAGGATAATGAAGAAGGTTGTAGGAAACCGATCTGGCTGCCCAACTGTAGGAGACAGGATCGTTGAGCTCATTTATATTGATATCGTAGGACTTGCTCAATTCAAGAAAACTCTTGGGCCATCCTGGGTTCACTACCAGTAAGTGCTACATGCTGTCCTGAAGTTAATAGAGCTTTTTTTTTTTTTTTCTTTTTTTAAAACAGGGGGGCATTGGTTACAGGCAGAAAACGCTTATCAAATATTACCTTTTGGACTGTGTGGAATAGGTTTCTTATTCCTAATTGAAATTCACATTCTCCCCAGTGACTTTTTACTTTCAAAGGCTATTCATTATTTTCATTGATTTCTTTTAGGAATAGAAAATAAGTGTCCAGCCACCTCTCTACCTTCATTAATACTCCTCATTCCTCTCTGTGTGCCTACACCCAGTATCATTTGTTTAAGTAACAATTTGGATAAAATGTGGAAAATGTCATTTCTTACATTGCTCAGGTTTGAGATGATGACTCATTTCTCTTCCCTTTTCCCTCATGAGTTGTCATTTTTGGAAGAGAAAGCTGTGAATACCTTGTCTGAATGCTGGGGTTTTGCACTTTTTAAGACGACCTATACTGAGAATGACCCAAGTGCACGCCTTTGTCATTTTGGAGAAGAACCCATTGTTTCCCTCTGTGTCGGTTTGGGACCATGATTTAGTGTTTGAGATGATTTTACATGGTACACAAGCATGGCATTAAATAACAATGAATTATATAATGAAGTTTATCAATCTTTCAGATTTCCTCCAATCTTTCTAAAAAGGCTTAGTTTGATGCTGTGGTACCTCCAGCACATCTTGCATCACTTACATGCATTTTTAACAAGCTGAGGGTAGCTGTCAGTTTCAGCCTTCAGGCAAAGTATCCAGTTTAAATTTAATAGTAATTTTTAAAGAAGAGAAATACGCTATTTTTGGTTATCTTCCCCTTACTAGAGTTGGTACTGGCTTTCATTTATGGCCTTTAAAAGTTTCCAATAGATGTAAATAAACATATTTTATCTAATGGTGTCAGTGGTACATAAATTTGGGTAAAAATCCTGAAGTTAGTACCAACTTGACTAGCTGATAGTGAATGTTGACCTATAGTTTCAACCAACTTCCTAGAAGAACACTTGGAAAATCTTTCAAGTAGCATGGCTTAAAATCTCTTCATGTGTTTCTTTTCTATTGCTATTGTGTAAAGAGATGTTTTGATGTGTTCTTGTAACTTGACGCAATAATTGAATCCTTAACAACTTGAACTAGGTCCATTTCAGATTAGTTTATAATTTAATATTATTTATTAACTTTAATCTCCAAGCCTGTATCAGATTGCAAGTCCTTTAGTAGATATTCAAAAGAAATAAAAAGTCAAGATATCAAGATTCTCCGAAACATAGTAGGGAAAACATCATTGTCTGTAGATTTTCTTGCAGTTTTCTTGCCAGTAGCAATATTTTTTTCTCCCTCGGCAGTGCCATGCTCAGGGACAGAAGGAAGGGATTGATTGAGGTGTCTGTGCACTTTTCATTTCCTTTTGGATACAGTTTCATCAAAAAGCAAAATAAAAATCTTGGTTTGGGCCAGGATAGCACTCTACCTTCTGCATCACATTATTCCTGGTTTTTTTTGGTTTGTTTTTCCTTGAAATCTTCATACATCACAAGCCATCACATTTGTTCTCAGTTATGTGGAAATAGCCATCTTTATTTTTGGTTAATAAGCCATGTAAGTAAACAATCATTTTTTTTTTCCCTTTTAGCTACAGCATTAAAGAAGGAAAGAAAGGCAGAGCTATTGTTCTCTGGCATTTAGCAAATGGCAGGCATCTGGTACGAAAGGACAGAGGCATCACGGGCATCCCTAGACTCACATATCCTCACCATTAAGAAGGGCTGTTGGGATAGAAAAATGTCCTCAGTGGTAGTGTTTCGGTCAATTAAAAAGGATGATTTCATTATTAAAATGGTCACCAGCCGTTGGTATTTGATTCTTATTGGATGAAAAGGCACCGTCTCAGAGGAATTTTATGGAAGGGTATAGTATCTATCCTCCCTTTAATAAATCATCGTCCATGTTAGTAATACTAGCTGGCAGGACGTCTGTTAGGACTTCAGCCTTGCAGTCTTTGTGGTGTGATGAAGCTAAGATTTCATCCAAAGACCAAGCAGGTCCTCTGGAAAGTTTCTTGCCCACTTCTTTCCCTTCTGAAGATTTAACATGGTCAGGACTCTCTGAATTCATCTTGGTTGATGGTACATGGCAGGAATTCCATTAAATGTAAGGGTATCATCTGATCTTCCATTTAGGAGCAAAACCTTGAGTCCTGTTGATCTTGGAAACATACTTGTAAATCCATCTTGGTTGATGGTACATGGCAGGAATTCCATTAAATGTAAAGGTATCATCTGATCTTCCATTTAGGAGCAAAACCTTGAGTCCTGTTGATCTTGGAAACATACTTGTAAATTCTTTCCAATTTATGTAGGGACCCAAGAAATTCAGTTAAACATGTGTTCAGTGCCTACATACCACTAGTATACCGCTCGGGACTGCAAAACTCATACCCATTTTTCTTCCTATGAGGTCTTTGCTGAGTATTGAGGACACACAGGAAAGTGAGGTGCAAATAGCGCAAGATACACCATGTTTTACATCCAACTCCAAATTAGAAAGTAGGTCCTGGCAAGGAAGTTGTCCATCTTATAGTAGTGTGGCTCAGAGCAAAAAGAATGTTCCAGAAGTCATTTGGCATGACCGCAGCGATTCCTGTTAGAAGGAGGCCAGTTGCCTCGGGCAGCAAGGCAAATATCTTTTTAAGTCATCGGTCTATTCCTGATGCTTCAGACACACAAAAGACATTAGAGGAACTGCATAAATATTAACAACACAGACCCAGTTCCAAAAACACAGCTGTAGAATGTGATTGAAGGAGGAAAACTATAATGTTAAACCTCCTCTGCCATACACAGAGATCCATTCCCTGCCTCTAGTTTATAAAACAAACCCAGGTCAGCTAAAAAAATAGATGATTCCCAAACTAAAGCTTACGTAGGAGGAAGTAGAATTCCAAGTTTCTCAGACATTTGATCTTTCATGCTACAGCTTTCCACTGGCTTGAGAAGCCCAGCATCATGTAGCACAGTATCAGAGTCCCGGCTTGCAGGCATTAGGCTCCCACCAGGAGTCTTGAATCATCAGGGTTTGTCTGAATTCTCTAAATTGAAAAGAAAACCAGTAAAACTCCCAAGTTAAAAATAAAATCACACGCCAAAGCTAGAGAGGCGTATACCCTGTTAGAGTGGATTGCAACTGAGTAGAAGTAGCCAAAGCCTTCGAGACAGAGGTTTCTTAGGACAAGGATGGCCTGTTCCTCCCTGCTGTGCTTGCACAGAGCCTGTAATCTTTGAGGCTCAGCCCCATCCCCTGGGCAGGAGCAGAGCACCCCCACCTGTCCGCGTGTGTCCCTCCCTCCCCTCCTGCTCTGCAACAACCCTCTACAGAACAGCCACTGTTGTCCCTACGTTCTCTGAATGCTGTCATCTTTCTCAGAAGAAAATATACTGGCTCCAACCAGTGGCTTATTTTAAAATACAAGTTAAAGAGTTAGTTACAGTATAGGAGGTTTTGATGTAAGTTTTTAATGCAAACTTTGATACTAAAAATATATATATAAGTTAAGGAATGGCAATGTTTTATAAAGAAGAGAAAAGGAATGCCCCAAACTACTCAGAGACCAGAGAAAACACACATGGGTCAGTTCCTTGGCTCCCCAGCTTTCTTTTTTCCTGGACTGTGGGCTCCCATTTCCGTCCACCTTGTGGTTGACGGTTGTCAGGCTGATGATGCATTCTTGGTGCTAATTGTGAAAATTGTTACTATAATGGTAGCATGTTCCTTGAGAGCCACGCAGGAATCCAAAATAAGGAAACGCTTTCTGTGGTCAGCTTGTGTTCGCTCCCATCCTCTTTCTTTTCCTCCCTTTCTTGTCTACAGAAAGGGTGGTGATCTCAGATGAGAAAAGCATCACACGAAAGTGGCGATTTGCTGTTGATTTTTCTGGAAAATCCAATCTGGTGTTTGCATTTTATTTTTCTGAATCACACATTGATGTGAAAAAAAAGTTAAGAGAACGCCTTCATCGTAGTGGGAAAAGGAAGAAAGAAACTGGATCCGATACTTACAACTCACTTGCCATTATCTGATTATAAAATGTGGGCTTTAATATTTTTTTAATTTTTTTTAAGATTTTATTTATTCATTTGCGATACAGAGATAGAGAGCATGAGCAGGGGGAGAGGCAGAGGGAGAGGGAGAAGCAGGCTTCCCGCTGAGCCAGGAGCCCAATGTGGGGCTCGATCCCAGGACCGTGGGATCATGACCTGGACCGAAGGCCAATGCTTAACCAACGGAGCCACCCAGGCGCCCTTAAAATGTGGGCTTTAATATTTATTTGCTTTTATGCTCATTGGTCCAGGAAGAGCCATTCAGGAGTATTGATAAGGTATAACCACAGAAAACAGCTATTTTTATTGGCCAGACACAAGCTAAATGTACATCAATGGCTTGAGAATCAGTGATGAATTGAAAGAATGAGTTAATTAATGTAGGAGGTTTCAGCATTGATTCTTGAATTGGTTGTTTTTGTGTATGTGTACTCTAAAGCAGTGATCGACAGGCTCTTTCTATAAAGGGTCATGTAGTAAATATTTTAGGCTTTGCTGGCCATATGGTCTTTCCAGCAACTATTGAAGTTCTCTATTATTGAGTGTAAGCAGCCATAGACCCTAAGTAAACAATTAGGCGTGGCTAGGTTGAAATAAAACTTCATTTCTGAACACTGAAAATGGAATTTCATCTAATTTTCATGTCACAAACTATCCCTTTAAAAAAAAAAAAAAGAAAAAACCTTTTAACATAAAGATCATTCTTAGTTCACAAGCCATACAAAAATAGGTGGTAGACCAGATATTTGGCTGACCCAGTTTGAAGACTTTGTTGGACGAGCCAAATGAAACATCTTCAGTTTTACTCCTGGCTCTGGAAGAAAGCAGTAACATCCCAGTCCTGTCAAGTTGACAGAAAAATCAACACTGCCTCTTAAGGGAGGTTCTAAACTCTACCTAAAAATAAATACTCTTATTAATTGATGAAAATGGTAAATGACTGTTGAAAGAGCTAAGGTGTGCCGTATGCTTTACGGAGAGTAAGACCTCCATCTTCGTCCGTTCGAGCTGCTGTACAAAATGCCAGTCTGGGTGGCTTAGAGACAACCTTCATTGCTCATGGTTCTGCAAGCTGAAGTGCAAGGACAGAGAGCCGGCGTGGTCAAGCGAGGCTCTCCTTCCTCCAGGTCTCAGACTTCTCACTTTGTCCTCACCTGCTGGAAGGGGCAAGGGAATTCTGAGGCGGCCTCTCTCTCTCTTTTTTAAATTAATTTATTTCAGAGAGAAAGAGATCAGGAGCTGGAGGGGCAAAGGGAGAGAGAGAGAGAATCCCAGGCAGACTCCCTGCAGAGCGTAGAGTCTGACGCGGGGCTCCATCCCAGAACCCTGAGATCATGACCTGAGGCGAAATCAAGAGTCAGACAGTTAACTGACCGTGCCACCTAGAAGCCCCTGTGGGGTCCCTTTTATAAGAATACTAAACCCATTCATGAGCTAATCACCCCTAGAGCCCTATTTACTAGTACCATCACCTTGGGGGGTTAGAGGTTCAACCTAAGAATTTGGGAGGGGAACACAAATATTCAGACCATGGCCACTTCTAAAAATGGTAGTTCTTTGTTTCTTCAGCAGCTCTTCATTAGGCTGCACCGTACGCTTGGCCCTAGCGAGGGGGCAACAGTGAACCAGGCAGTCTACAGTGCTAGCTCTCGTGGGACTTTGTATTTTGCTGTTATCTGAGTGATCTTCTGTGACTTGTCAGCTTATCTGAAGGAAAACGTATCTGTGTGTGATGGCTCAGTCTCAGAAGTCACACATGGAGGTGTTCAGTATATATGTTGTAGTCTCTCACTTCCCACCCACTAGTGTTTCTGATGAAAAGTATTTGTCCGTTCTTGGTAGTCCCTTCAGGACAGGTTAGAACTTTTACCTTTTTTTTAAGATTTTCTCTATTTATTTGAGGGAGAGAGAGACAGAGTCTGAGCAGGGCAGGGTGGGGGTTGGCAGAGGCAGAGAGAAGCAGACTCCCTGCTTAACAGGGAGCCCGTCGCGGGGCTCCATCGCAGGATCCTGGGATCATGACCTGAGCCGAAGGCAGACACTTAACCGACTGAGCCAACCAGGCGCCACGAACTTTTACCTTTTGAACTTTGGGGTCAAAGTTGTAGTTTTATCCACATTACTTTTTCTTTTCAGGTGCATGCTCCGAGTCCTGGATTCATTTGGTACCGAGCCAGAGTTTAACCATGCTAACTATGCCCAGTCTAAAGGCCACAAGACGCCCTGGGGAAAATGGAATCTGAACCCACAGCAGTTTTATACCATGTTCCGTGAGTATTCACGCTTCCCCTCTGCTTTCCAGAATGCCACCAAAGATAAACGGGAAAAGAAACTAGATGGCTGTGTATTTTGGGTTATGATTCTCAGGGCTTTTAGCTGTAGAAACATGTGCTGTGGAACCTTTCCCTTGAGAATCACTGAATTTTTTTGTTGTTGTTTAATTGGAATTAAGGCCATGTGAGCATTTTGTGAAAAGCCTTCGAAATGTTCTAGAGAAAAAGACGTTCAATATGAAGTATCACTAAAAACCATTTGGGAAAGGACCCTGGGTGGATTCTGGATTGGCAAGCACTAAACACGTTTCATGCCGCACAGATGCTGTGTAGGGTCCACTTGATGACTGATGAGGAATGAGGTCTTTCATGTAGATAGAGTTTCGGGGAAAAAAAAAAAAAGAGTCTTAATTATTTATACATCAACCCTTGTAAAGAAAAAAAGTCAGCTTTTTTTTTTTTTTTCGAAGGAAACTGTTTTAAACTCTGTTCCATACTTAATCACTTCTCATGCGCTGACCGCAGAATGCAGTCTCACTTGCTCTTGCTCACCAGGCGTCATTGATGCCAACAGCAGTGGTAATTTCAGGAGGTGTTGTAGTGGACACGTCCAGAATGAGGAGCTCACTGCCCCGGCGGTCGGTTTTTTTCTGTTTCTGTCCTGTTCCCTTTCCCATATTCACCATTTCTTATTGCTGCTGGCAGTTTACCTCCTTGAGCCTCATTTCACTGATAATTAGCTAAGGACTGTGAAGGAAACTCCCAAATTTGATAATGATCATGCCCAAAATAAACCTAGAGTTGAAGTCTGTATTCCTCGATTGAGGTGAAGTCCTATTCTGGAAATGTCACATGAGTTAAACATGACTTCATTTGGATGCTCAGAGTAGAGAACTCCCATTTTCCAAAGTTGTCAGAATAATTATAATCCAGAGATTTTCATCCTAGAATTAGTATCTGCGATGTGAATCTGTTTCCTTTGTTGAGACCCAAGGGACCCGTGGCCTACTTCTTCCCTGTGTGCTCACCTCTCCCCATTGTATGCAGTCACCCTTTTCTCAGGTTCATTAAACGTAACAAAGAACACATTGGACTTAATCCTTGGATGTGACATGTGAGACCGTAGAATTAAGAAGGGCTATGGCAATTGGACAGTGGTGATTTAAAAATCAGCTCATGGTCAAGTGTTCAGTGTTCTTTTCAGCTCAGAAGGATTTGCAAGAGCATGTTATATGCCTGGCAGACATTATTATTGTTCCTGGAGCTATATCATCCTGCTGTTGCAGCCCATCCTGGGGGCACAGTTTAGGGGACAGACTAATATGTGGCATGTTGGGTGATAGATGGCTGGTCAGCATGGTAAGGCATGATTGGAGTTAGCCTTTGGTTTGACTTTATTGTATAACTTTTGAGGGGCTGGGATGAGGTGGTATAGAATAATGTAAGAAGTAACCTGTGCATTATATCAGATGAAACATGTTAGGTGTTTCTAAAATGGCCAGAATAACCCGAATGATAGGCTATATCCTCTATAAGATGCCTTGTATCCAGAGAGTAGAAATAGGAAGTGTTTCTAGAAACTATAAAGTTCTCTTCTAGAATGTTGAAAATCAGAGTCCTAAAAACCTATTTTGTTCTCCATGAATGGAGGATTTCAGCAGTGTTGGTTGACTGAATTGAAAGAAATTCATTGCTTAAAATGTAACTAAAAATGAAAACACAGACTAATTCCTATTAACCTGGGAAGGGGACAAATTTTCCGACTCAGAATTCAGCAGGAATCAGGGGAGAAAACTGATACATTTGACTGCCTTTAAAAAAAAAAAAAACCTGGGGGACGGAGCAAGATGGCGGAGGAGTAGGAGACCTGGATTTCGTCTCCTCTCAGGAATTCAGCTGGATAGGGATCAAACCATTCTGAACACCTACAAACTCAACAGGAGATCGAAGAAAAGAAGAGCAACAACTCTCTCATCAGAAAAGCGACCACTGTCTGGAAGGTAGGACGTGCGGAGAAGTGAATCCGCGGCGATATTCGGGAGGATAGACGGCGGGGGAGGGGCTTTCGTCGGCCGCTTCTGGCAAGTGATAGAGCCGCGGAGCACAAAATCGGAACTTTTAAAAGTCTGCTCCACTGAGGGACGTCACTCCGGTGGCTAAGCGGGGGATGGGACCCTCCAGGACAGTGTGGTCTCAGGACCCTCACGGTCACAGAAAAACTGGGGGTGCCTCAGTGCGGCAGAGCTCCCAGGTAACGGAGCCGGGAAGCCGGCTGCAGAGGCAGAGCCCAGGCGCGGGCTCTCAGCTCGGGGTCGCCATAAACCGCGATCGGCGACACAGTCGGGCCCCTGCTCCTCCAGCAGGGACCCACCAAGCGGCAGATCCGGGGAGACTCACCTTCCTACTCCGGGAGGAGCCGAGCGGGAGCGCACTGTGGGAATCTGCTGGGTTTGGAGACTCCACCCGGGGTCGGGTGCCAGAGATAGAGGCGCGGGGTCGCAGGCCGGGTGAGCACGGAGTGCAGCCGGAGAGCGGGGAGACGGGAGTGACTGACGGCTTTTCTCTGGGGGCTCACTGAGGAGCGGGGCCCCGAGTTCTCTGCTCCTCCGGAACAGAGATTGGGAGGCTGCCATTTTCACTCTCCACCTCCAAAGCTGTACGGAAAGCTTGCAGGGAACAAAAGCCCAGAGAGCAAACCCAAGCAGATTACTCAGCCAGGAGGGGGCAAGGGCGGGGCAATTCCGCCTCCGGCAGAGACATTTGGAAACCACGGCAACAGGCCCCTCCCCAGAAGATCAGCGAGAACAGCCAGCCAAGACCAAGTTTACCGATCAATGAGAACGGCAGAACTCCAGCGCTAGGGGACTACTGCACATAGAATTCACGGCTTTTTTACCATGATTCTTTAGTCTTTTAAAGTTAATTTTTTTTAACTTTTTGTCTTATTATTTCTTTTTGAATTTTTCTTTTTCCCTTTTTCAACCAACATCTTATCAATCCCTTTTTTTAAAAAAAAAAAAAATTTATTTTTCATTTTTAGAGTCATATTCTATCTCTTCATAGTAGTTACCCATATTTTTGGCTTATATATATAAGTTGTTCTCTCTTTAAAATTTTGAAATAGTTTCTTCTAACAGATTAAAATATACCCTAAATCTCTAGTATATGGTGCTTTCTATTCCCCTGCCTGATCACATCCTCCCCCCCTTTTTTTTCTCTTTTTCTTTTTTCTTTTTTTAAATCCTCTTCTTTCTTTTTTCAAACAACTTCTTATCAATTCCTTTTATAACATTTTTTATAATTTCCATTTTTACAGTCATATCCCATCCCTTCATCATATCAACCCTTATTTTTGTACATATATAAGTTTTTCTTTCTTTAAAATTTTGGGAGGCACTTTCTTCTAAAAGACCAAAATACACCCCAAATCTAGTGTGTGGCACTGATCTATATACCATATAGATCATATTTGATCACATTCTGGTTTTCCTTTTGTTGTTGCTGTTTTGTTTTGTTTGTTTTTGTTTTTATCTTTATCTTTTTTTTTCTTTTTCTTTTTTCTCTCTTTCCCTTTCTTATCCCACTGCTTCAGGTCTTTCCGATTTGTTTAGAGTATATTTTCTGGGGACGTGGTTATTCTGCTACATTTTGTTCTTTCATTAATCTACTCTCCTCTGCACAAAATGACAAGACGGAAAAAATCACCTCAACAAAAAGAACAAGAGGTAGTACCAACTGCCAGGGACCTACTCAATACGGACATTAGTACGATGTCAGATCTAGAGTTCAGAATCATCACTTTAAAGATACTAGCTGGGCTTGAAAAAAATATGGAAGTTATTAGAGAAACCCTTTCTGGAAAAGTAAAAGAGCTAAAATCCAACCAAGTAGAAATCAAAAAGGCTATTAATGAGGTGCAATAAAAAATGGGGGCACTAACTGCTAGAATAAATGAGGCAGAAGAGAGAATCAGTAATATAGAAGATGAAATGATGGAAAATAAAGAAGCTGAGAAAAAGAGAGATAAACAACTACTGGATCACGAGGGCAGAATTCGAGAAATAAGCGATACCATAAGACGAAACAACATTAGAATAATTGGGATCCCAGAAGAAGAAGAAAGAGAGAGAGGGCCAGAAGGTATAATAGAGCAAATTATAGCAGAGAACTTCCCTAATTTGGGGAAAGAAACAGGCATGAAAATCCAGGAAGCACAGAGAACCCCTCTCAAAATCAATAAAAATAGGTCAACACCCCGACATCTAATAGTAAAACTTACGAGTCTCAGAGACAAAGAGAAAATCCTGAAAGCAGCTCGGGAGAAGAGATATGTAACCTACAATGGTAGAAACATTAGATTGGCAACAGACCTATCCACAGAGACCTGGCAGGCCAGAAAGGACTGGCAGGATATATTCAGAGCACTAAATGAGAAAAATATGCAGCCAAGAATACTCTATCCAGCTAGGCTGTCATTGAAAATTGAAGGAGAGATAAAAAGCTTCCAGGACAAACAAAAACTAAAGGAATTTGCAAACACAAAACCAGCCCTACAGGAAATCTTGAAAGGGGTCCTCTAAGCAAAGAGAGAGCCTAAAAGCAACATAGACCAGAAAGGAACACAGACAATATACGGTAACAGGCACCTTACAGGCAATACAATGGCACTAAATTCCTATCTTTCAATAGTTACCCTGAATGTAAATGGGCTAAACGCCCCAATCAAAAGACACAGGCTAACAGACTGGATTAAAAAACAAGACCCATCGATATGCTGTCTGCAAGAGACTCATTTTAGAACCAAAGACACCCCCAGATTGAAAGTGAGGGGGTGGAAAACCATTTACCATGCTAATGGACACCAAAAGAAAGCTGGGGTGGCAATCCTTATATCAGACAAATTAGATTTTAAACCAAAGACTGTAATAAGAGATGAGGAAGGACACTATATCCTACTTAAAGGATCTATCCAACAAGAAGATCTAACAATTGTAAAT